CCTCGGAATACCGTTTTTTTCTCTCATTTTTTGAACCCTCAATTTTAAATGAATAAAATTTGATGCAATTAAAGTTTAACGATCACATATAAAACTTGTGTACTATATTTTAATATAATAAACTAATACGTGCGTGCGTGCGTGTGTGAACAGTAAATTTTAAATTATTTATTTAATTCAGAATATTCAAAAATAAAAAAAAATATAATAATAGTAAGAGCAGTCATAATAATCATTTCTGGAATTCTAATGTTAACTTTCAATTGGTTTTGTTCAGCTGTAGATACTAAACTAATGATCCACAACAGTTTAGTTATTTAACCTTTCAATAACTAAATTATGAAAACAAAAATTTTACGATAGAGGTGAAAAATATAGCTAAATAAAAAAAAAAAAAAATATCTGTAACAAATATATAATAAAATTTTACTTGAACGTAATATATAAATATTATATGAATATGGTACAGTTGCCAATTAGGATTACAAATTATTTAAAAAAATTTTAGAGATATTAATTTTAATATATCCCATTATAATTATATTCTACATTTTAAGTGATAATATTATTAAGTAATCTAATCTAAATCTAATTCAAACTGTTATGACAATTCATAATACTAATTCAGAATTAAAAATTCTAATTATTTTGATTTTTATTTAATTGATTTATTAATTCTAATTAATTCTAATAAATTCTAATTATTTGATATTGGCAGATGGAAGATCTTACGATTATCAAAAAATTTGTGTTAACAAAGATAGATTTTAAGATTTTGATTTATTTTTTGTAATAAATTATTGATATGAAAATTATCATTTTTATTTATTCCTTATTTCAAAGTGATATTGCAGATAAAGATTAAATTAGATTAAAATTAAAAAATAATAATTAACAAGTACTTTTTTAATATTTTCAATTAATTGTCAATCATAACTGAGAAATTATTGATTTTTTTCTCTCATCATGTGATTTATAACGATAATGAAAAATTTTGACAATTAAATATATGTTAAATATAAAATAATTTGTATTTGTCTTTCAGTGACATTTTTTTTTTAAATATTTATAAAGTTTTTTTTTTTAAATATTTATATATACACGAATATATATACACGAATATATATACACGAAATAAATTTATGATCATACTTGAATCTATTTTTGTTTTTAAAAACTTATTTTTAGTTATATTATTATTATTTCCAATATATCTTAAAATTATGTTTCTTAACGAATTTTAAATATATTTTAGTTTTCTTTTTTTTACTAATATTTATATAAAAAATATATATTCTATTGTATTTTCCATTAAAAAAAAAATAATTTACTAATAAATAATTATATATAAATAATATTTTTTAATAAATTTATAATTTATTCAAATAAATCAATCTTTTGTAACTTTTGAATAGTGATTAATAATTAAAATATTAAAATTTTAGCCGTTTAACGTCAACGAAGAAGTAAATTCACGCTCTTGCTATTTTATTAATACTATAATTCTATAATCTGTATTAATGACTCTTCAAGTAATATAAACATTTTATTTGTGTAACAAAAAAAAGTATTTATTTTATTTAAAAATTATTAAGTACAATTTTTATGGAATAAAGCAAATAAAATTATTAAATAAATATAATCTAATATACAACTATGTTTTGATATATATTTTTATTGATAAAATCAATGCTTATCAATGTTTCAGATTAATTGTATTGTACAATCTCTTTAGATAATAGATAAACACGCTTTTATATATTTTTGATTGAGAACCACTGTCCCGAGCATTGCTCCTATCTGACCGTTGCAGTTCAAATTTTATTATGAATACAAATTATAAAATTGTATATATACAAAAGTCATCTTAAAGTTATTTTGTTTGAAACATCTCAAAATTTCTCCAAACAAAATATTATATATATTACATTATTCGAAGTATTTATGTAACTTTTGATAAATCTTAAATACATTAATACCTCTAACTTATAAAAATTAATAAATTAATTTTTCAATTAAAATATATTTAAAATAATTTATAATGTATTTAATATCTAAAGATTTTTTTAAACTTTGTAAAAATAATTAAAAACTCAACGATATCACATCATGATATTTCGTAATATTGATAAAAATACTGCGTGAATATACTGTACTTCGAAATCATGCCACGTTACGAAGTTGTTTGAAAAAAATTTCGAAATAATTTCTTAAATCGAATTCATGCGGAACAGTGGAGGGCGACGAACTGTCGTTAGAAGTAAACGAATTTCATCGGGGAAAGCTACGAGGGGAGTCAAAACGAAAGCATAGTTCTTGCAACCGACAGAGATAGAAATGACACGACACTAAACTTCCTCAAATTTTAATATAACTCAATAAAAACGTATCATGAAATGTAAAAAAAAAAAAATATATATAAAAATAATCGAAATTACGACCGAAATTAATGTTTTTTGAATTTCAATTTTTTTAGATTTTGTCTGAATATCTTTTATCGCGATTTTTGTCATATGTGTTATTTCGATGATATTTTAGATGAAAAATTGCTTAAAATAATTTTCAAAAAGATTTTTCAATTTATATTTATGAAAACATGACCATAAATTTAACGGAATAAGAAAAAAGAAGAGAATAAATGAAACGAACGCTATAATCTCATTTAAAGGTAGATGTTTTGATCGACTGTTCATGGGAATGCGGTGCGCTACGAATGTAACAGAAAAATGTGTCTGTCTCGCCGTTATACGCGCGATAAGTATGTGTATACACGAGTCGCGCGCATACTGCATGGTCAAAATGGAAAGAGAAAGAGGAAGAGACAGCCTAGAGGCCTTGCATACAGGCCGTTTCTAAAATAGGTGATTAAACTTTAGACACGTATCTGCCAATCTTATAAATAAAAAAAGATATTTTAACTATAATGATGTTTTGTTTTGTTAAATTACTAAATTACTATTCTTTTACTTGTAATTCCTTAAATTAATATATTATATCATTATACATTCAATATATTATGCATTTTGAAATTTCTTGAACATAAACAAAAATTAAAAATATTTTTTTATATTATGAATTTTTTAATAATTTTATTGATTTATATAAATTATTATCATATTGATATATTTAAATATTTATATATTATGTCATTTAATACAATCTATACACTCAAAATATTTTTATTATTAATATTTATTTATAATTTAAAAACGAATTATAGAAAATTCTTTTACCATATGTTTGAAAAATAACTATATTAAAAACCAATGAAAAAAAATTTATTAAAACGTAAAATATTTTTTAATAATATACATATAATTTATTATTTTAATATAATAATAATGATTATATATTATATTAAAAAAAAAATTAAATTGATTCGAATCATAAGTCATAAGAAAGAAAATATATTTCATTAAAAATATAAACTTGATTCTATTGTCATTTTTAATTCAAAATAAAATATATCATCATCGGCAATATAAGAATAAAATATAATCAAATTTTGTCATATATGAATTATGTTTAATCACATATAATCACGTATCACCACCAAAAACAATTTAATCGCAATCTCACAGATATGTCAAGTATTCTTAAGAACTTTAAAAAAACAAACTAAATCAGTTGTAATTTAAGAAAAAACTATTTTCACAAAAATTATTCTATTCACAAAAGAAAAAGGAGCAATATACACTCCTGGTATTGGAGCACCTATTTTCGAAACGTCCTGTAGACAAGTAGAAGTATACGAAGAATCCATATACATCAATAGGTTGGTATGTATCACATAAGCACGTTTGAGGTTCGTCGAGTTCAACGAAAAGGAGTTCCTAGACTCGCCGGACCAGAGCAGACGAGGACTTTCAAGTGGTGCAAACAATGTCTGACACAGTTTTGTGGCTTTGTTGAAAGGCGAAAGGAATGTTACGAGAGACGATCTTGTTATCTGTTGTAAAAAGATCGCGTTTTCGACCACAAGTTTATCGAAAGATCACTAATAGAACACCAACTACACAGCACAACAAATTAACAATATTCACTGCGATAACCAAAGGATACATGCAACAGTCTTCGGACAGCCCTGCTACAACCTCCTTAATTCTTTCACGAGTGGAAAACTCAGGGCCGACATGAATCAGGCATGACATTGGGTCGCATAAACTTCAAATCCCACTGACGCGCACATACACGCTTGCGCATATATATAACTACTTATGTATGTACATATGTACATATATAGATGTATATATAGGCATATGTACATGCAACTATGTACGTATATGTATGTATACACATATATATATATATTATATACACAGTAATGGAAGGGAGGGGAGGGGAGTGCCGCGATACACAACACCGACGTCGACACGAACGATCGAGTACTGCCCACGGGAATACTCCAATATATAGGTTAACCCGGACGACTTCTGCTCGCAACATTACACGGTACCGTTAAACAGCCGTTGGACAACTGGTTTCCGTCCTGTGAAGCCAAAGTCTCGTTCTTCCGAATCTCCAAACACAGAGTAGATATGTGCTCCGACTCTTACGAAGAGTGGGCTCACTGATCACTCACCAGTGCGAAGAAATTCGTGTGGCAGTCCTCCAGGCTAGCGCCGTTTGTTTGATGCGACGGATGCGTCATGGCTTCTCCATCGTACGCCGTACACTCATTAGCAACACTTCTCGCGGCGGCGCGCCTCTCTCAGCCCCGAAAATCACACGGCGAGGCCGCTATTATTCGAGAACATTTAGGAGGGTTTTCACTTCTCAATGGCGACCGTAAAATGGCGGACGATGG